ACTCTTCTTTCACACGAATACTCTCACCTGCATCCAACCTCAATAGAAGTATTTTCGAATTTGTTATATAAAAGGTGACCTGAGAAAGTTAACAAAAAATCTTTTGTATGGAACTTGATGTGCTCTATATAATCTTACTAAACAAACAGCAATAAAAAATTGTACTCTAATTTCGAGTTGCACCGACCTTATATAGAACCATCTGTATTATGGCACGATTTATCAGGTGTCTTAAACAATGGTAACCTTCTTTCATATCATCATGTCCTTTTGCTAGGATTGAATACTTAAAAGGAATGACTATTGTAAAGAGAAGAGTGACTCTAATTTCAATGAAACAAACGAAATAAAGAACGAAAAGGAACGATAACAGCCAGCATTAATGAAATCTGTTCTACAATGTTTCCTCAACAACAAACCCTCTATGTTCGACTATACCTACAAGTAACGCTCGTTTGAGGACTCGCTTAGCTCTTTCTCGTAGAAATCCATTTTCTTCACATTTACTGAAAAAACAAATAAACACGTAAGAAATCGATTTTCGATGTTTTGTTGACCATGCGGACACACAAGCAATCAAGCAATCAAACAATTTATGTTTACTAGACTCTTCTCTACGAGAAAGAGAATAGTAAGTTGTTTATTATTCGTTTGAAATGGTACTATAAATCGCGACGAGCTCAACGTTTTCTGGGTGAACTAGTTTCCAGATAATTTGAAACTTCGTGAATATATTGATGACAGATTTGCGCATACTGGTTTGCATAAAGTTGACAATTATGTTATAATAAATCATTTAACTAACATTTTTTATGGTTATAACTGTCATAGAATGACATCGCAATAATTATACCGATAACATATTTATACGAATGAATATCATATAATAAATAAAAGTCATATCCAAAAGACTATTATTTCTGATTATTTTTTCATGGTAGCTTGTAATCGTCGTATTTTATACATTGGTATTCTTGTGTGTTTCTTAGCCTGGTTTACTATTTTTCCATCTGCTTCATGGCCAAAATCTCCATCAAACCTTGATATATTTCTGAGTACCACTATATGTGGTCGCCTTATTCAACATCCAAACTTAACATTAACAACAAATGAATCGATACAATTAGAACATCAGATACAAACATATTTTTCGTTTCCAAAAGACTGTAGTATATATACCAGTCAAAGAACATTTTCATCTGAAGAATTAACATATCCTTTAGCTTTCACCATTCTTATTCATACAAACCTTGATCAATTTGATTTTC